TGCCCTAGTGTGGGACGTGGGCACATGAACTGCAAGGCCAAATGCCCGACACAGAGCTTACACTATGGGAAGGGAGACAAACAAGTGGACATGCAGTTCTTGTACAGTAAGCTCTCTCCTGTGACGGCTGTGGAGCCCCGGGAAGCTCCCAGTGCAGACTCGCCCAGTCCTAGAGAGCCATCTAGAGAGACAGTCATCGTGGTGAAAGTGGAGGGAGCAGGTAGTAACCAGCCAGATGTGGGTAGAGAGGCTCCAGGAGCAGGAAGCAGCCCCACAGTGACAGGGAACGGAAAGCCATGCAGGCCAGCCTGGAAAGAGGATGCTGGAGGAGATGGGAGGAGCCAGAGCACGGAACCTCTTCTGTGCCGTGAAAGGCATGTGGGCACAGGAGGAGCCAGCAGTGGTCGCTGAGACGGTGGGGGGTGAGGAAGAAGCCCAGGGAAAGGCCCTGATAGATAGGAGACTGTGGAGTGGCTGGGATCCCAGGATCGTGTGGGAGGGCTCACAGGGAGAGGGGCAGAGAGTGGTGTGCGAGTGACTGGCATGGGCCCTGGGTGCATGCCGGGACCACACATGGGAAGGGAGGCAGCAGGAGGAACAAGGGGCTTCCAAGGGCGGTGATGAGGTCTTCACGAAACAGTGAGTTTTCTCTGCTGGGAACCCAAGGGACAGCTGGGCCAGGGATTAAACAAGGCAGGGCTGAGATGGAGATGTAGGAGGTGTCCCCAAAGAAGACACTGGCATGAATGGAATGACAAGGGAGAGCAGGTTGTGTGAGCAGAGGGCCTGGGACAAAGTCCTGGAGACACTGACATCCAGGAAAGATGACCAAGGAGAGAGGTGGTGCCTTGGGAGCTGGTGATGGAGAGGCTTCCCCTGGGTCCCACGGCACCTGCTTGGTGCACTGCTGGATGAGAGATGGGGGGCCTGGGTGTCACAGAAGCCAGGCTCATGGAAGAACAGCCAGGGCCCTGCCTTCCTTCTCCCCTCCAAGCCCAGCCCAGATTTTTCTGTCAGGTGAACCCAGCCGCCTGCAGCATCTGCACTGGCACTGTACTCCCCAGAGCAGCCAGCTGCACCGAGACAGGAAGGCTTTGGCAGGGCAGAGAGCCCTTCAGTGGTTCACTGGTGGTCCTGGCTGAGCCACAGGGCCCTCCTCCTGCCCCTCCTCCACACCTCCTCAGCAGACAGCAGAGGCTTAGCATGTCCTGCCCCAGAAAAGTCAGAACCGGGGTAGCCACCCTGCACCCAGGTTGGCTCTTTGAGAAGTCAGGAGCCAGGAAGCTCCTCCTAGGTGAGGAGAACTTTAGGGGCAGGATGAAGCAGAGGGAGCAGAGTGGGAGGGAGACGGGACCGGGGGGAGGATGGGGAGCCGGGGAGCTGTGCGGGTGCAGGGTGGGCCACGAAGAACAGACAGGACTGATAGGACCACCTTCCTCCCACCTGTTTCCTAGCCTCCGCCTTTTCCTCCTCATCACTCCCATCTCACTCTACACCTTCCCTCTCTCCTCTCCTGGGTGTCTCAGAGTTCCCCTTGATGACCAGGAACACATGTGGGTGAGGTGAGTGGCGACAGCTTGCCAATGGTGTCACGAAGAGGCACCACCCTCAGACCACGCCTCCCCAGTGGCAAAGCGCATTTTAGCTCTGTGCTGGGCTGCAAGGGCCGGTGGCACAGGTCGCGGCTGCCCTGCAGTTTGTGTCAGCTCTGCTACAGGGCGGCCCTCTGGAGATGGTTGGCCGCAGCCCCCAACAGCGCCCTCCAGCACCCCCTGGACGCACGTGGACACTGCCAACGCTGGGGCGCTCCCTGCCAGGATGCCAGAGTGCCTCTGGGCAGCGCTGCAGTGGAAACTGCCTCTTCTGCTCATAGCGCCTTCCCTCTTCCATCCGCACACTTGTTTTGACTTCTAGCAGTTCTGCAGCCTTGCTTTCGTGTTCTCCTAAGTCCAAAGAGTCGAGAGCTTCCTGAACCCTACGGAACAGAAAATAGGAGGAGTCACTGAACTGTGCGTGACTGTGGAATCCTGTTGAATCCTAGGGACTGGGGGTAGACACAGCGGTGGTCTAACCGCCACGGTCCCTGCCATGGCGGAACAGAGCAGGCAGGCAACGCTCAGCTGCCGGGTGCTGGGCCACACCTCAGATCGTGCCCGCCCAGCAGCCAAGACCAGCAGGGGCCCACAGTGCCCAGCACAGCGCCGACACTAAATGCAAATGTTTGTTGAGCAGAATTAAATTGGAATTGCATCAAAGGGAACTACACGTCTCTGCAGAAGGTGATGGGAAAGGACACACAGAGTCTACTGTGAACCTGACCATCCTTCATAAGGAAGCCTGGGTGGCTTCCCAAAAACCTAGCATTGAGAAGGAGTTGTGTCCCCTTCTCTGGAAACTTCCCTTCTGCAGGCCCAGGCCCAGCAGACAGATTCGGAAAACAGCGATGATGTAACTCACATTTCTTTTCCATCCAGCGCTGAGCCGCTGGGCACGGTGGCCTTTGCTTGAGCTGCTCCCCGGCCTGAAATGCCCTCCTCCCTCCACTTCCTCTTAGAAAATTGTGGACCTAGGGGCTGGCGATGTGGCATAGCAGGTAATGCTGCTGCCTGCAGTGCTGGCATCCCATATGGGCACTAGTTCTAGTCCCGGCTACTCCACGTCTGACCCAGCTCTCTGCTATGGCCTGGGAAAGCAGTAGAAGATGGCCCAAAGCCTTGGGCCCCTGCACCCGTGTGGGAGACCCGGAAGAAGCTCCTGGCTCCTGGCTATATCTGGGATTTGCTGGGATGCAGTAAGATGGATAGGAATGGGATGGAGAGAGGGTGGAAAGTGAAATAATTGGACAGTTAATGAAATGGGAAGGAGGGTTTGTGAGGGCTCCTTCAACTATTCTATTTTGTGTCTATTTTGAAATTTCCCTAAGAAAATGCTTCCTAAAAACTCCTGTGCATCCACAAAACACAGGCCAATCCCACCGTGCACATGGAGCTGGCCCGGCTGCTCCCCGCTCTTGGGCCGGCCCCTCCCTTGTCACGGCTAATGTTCCCCAAGAGAGCACAGTGGCTCCCTGTAGTCACCCACTAGCACCTTTTTTTCCAGTGGCTTTCGATGGCCTCTTTCATTTCATGTCAGAAAGGAGAGAGAAGGAAAGCAGCTAACATTTCCAAGGGCCCACTGCGTGGGAGGGGCCGTGCCACGTGCTCCTCGCGCAGGCTGTGTCCTGCACCGCTTCCCCGGCGCAAGCCTGGATTCATAAATACGAGTTAGGAAATACGAAGGACTCATTAGTCACACATCAGCACGACCTTCTGCTGTGCTGGTAGGCGGACATCACAGATAAACGTTCCCAGTGACACAGGGGACAACGCAAATTGCCAAGTGGAAAAAAAAAAATCAGGGCACAAAATACAGTATGACCTCAAGCCCATAAAAACTGGCCAGAAGAAAGACTAGACGAAAATGCATATCCAAATGTGCTTATTTCTTGGTAGAGGATTTATTAGAGGGTTTTTTTCTTGTTAAATTTTCAAAATCTGGCATGATAATCATGAGAGAAGTTCAAGAAGTTCATGGAAATGAGATTAAAAGATAAGTTTATTTTGGTGCAAAAAATGTTTGAAATCATTGCATAATTTTTATCATAATATGCAGTTTCCAATGAATTCTTTCAATAAAAAAATAATCTCTTTATTTGAAAGACGGAAAAGGGAAGAGAGATGCAGAGAGAGAAAGACAGAGAAAATGAGTTCCCATCCACTGATTCACTTCTCAGATGTGCATAAAAATCAAGGCCAGCCCTAGGATTGAAACCAGGAACTCAATTCAGACCTCCCACAAGGGTGGCAGGAACCCAATTACTTGGGCCATCACCACAACGCCCCAGGGCCTACTTTAGCAGGAAGCTGGAGTCAGGAGCCAGTGCCAGGAATTGAACCCACGTACTCCAATGTAGAACACAGACATCTTTTTTTTTTAAGATTTATTAATTTTTTATTTATTTGAAAGAGTCCCAGAGAAAGAGATGGGGAGAGAAAGAGATCTTCCATCCACTGATTCACTCCCCAGGTGGCCACAACAGCCAGAGCTGAGCCAGGTCAAACCCAGGAGCTTCTTCTGGGTCTCCCACATGGATGGCAGGCACCCACACACTTGAGCCATCCTCAGCTGTCTCTCCCAGGCCATTTGCAGGGAGCTGGATCAGAAGTGGAGCAGCAGGGACACTTATCAGCTCCCATATGGGATGCTGGCTTCTCAGGCAGTGGCTTTACCTACTGTGCCACAGCACCCGCCCAAGACACAGGCATCTTAACCAGTGTTTTAGATGCAAGGCTAAACGCCCCACCCCGCACCCGGCCCCGTGAACTTTCTGAAGACCCCGTCATGTAACAGAAGACGGTAAGCTTTTTCTATAAAGGGTCAGAAGTAAATATTTTCAGCTTTGTGGGCCATGCGGTCTCTGTCACATCTACTCGGCTCTGCCACTATAGCACCAAAGCGGCCGTAGATCATCCATAAATGAGTGGGTGTGGCTGTGTTCCAGTAAAACTTTATTTACAGAAACAGGCAGTGGGCTGGATTTGCCTCATGACTAGCCATCGTTCTCCAACTTCTGATATATTACTTTATAATCAGAAAAACGCATTATTTAAGGATGTATTCTTTGGCCGAAACTGTAAGATCTTGGCACCGTGATTGATAGATCACAGTACAGAAGTCAGACAGCCGTGTTTTACTCCAGTACCCTTGCATCGTAAAACAAGAGAAATGCAAAAGCAGAAACTAGAGGATATGAGAAAGAAAAGTCTGTGCCTTCTTGTTAATGCAAATTTTATCTCCCTTGTTAAGCCTACTGTATTTCACTTATTAAGGTTTTCTCAAATGCCTTCTCAGAAAGTTTTATAATATTTTAGAAACCTTGGCAATCTATTATTTTTTTAAAAAAAAAGTATGATAGGCAGAAAAAGTAAAATTTTCAGTGCTTGCTTGTTTTTTTCCTCCAGGTTTTCTGAAGCAAAGGCCCTGGGAGAAAGCATCAATGAAGCAAGACGTAAAATTGGTAAGCAGCCGGAATTCTGAGAGTCTCTTTTCGCTGGTGAAAATCAGGTCAGGATGTGGTCCCACATCACCCTGAAGCCCGGTTTCAGCAGGGCCCCTGGCCAAGGACGCTGCTGTGAGTCCCTTCCGTGGAAGTCTGTCACTCTCCCCCCACCCATCAGGAGAAGCACTTTGTTTGGTCTAAAACTTGAACTTTCCATCCCTCACGCAGGCCTGAGCTCTGGCGTCCCAATGAGAAAGCTTTGCTTTTTCTGGTGTGTGGCAGTGATAGCTCAGCTGGTGACCACCGCAGTCACGCAGGGATGGCATTTCACGTTTCCAAGGGAGGTGAAACACTTTCACATCTCCCGAAGCTCAGACTCGGCGGTCTGGAGCACAGGTGTGCATGGTGCAATGGCTTCGTAAAGCCAGGGGAAGGATGAGAGGCAGACCAGCCACTGCGCGTTCCTGGGGCACAGGCGGCCGAGCCCGGCCCTCTAGCTGAGCAAGCCTGGGAAGCTGAGGGGAAGCAAGAGGCAAATGCAATTTAAAAACTCTTGCCTCAAACCTTTTTCAAAGCAAGAGGAAGATGCCTGTTCATCCTAAGCTGGAAAACACAACAGAGACCCATCTGCAGGCTTGCAGCAGCCTCGCTTCTGAGTTCAGGAGGGCAGCTGGCTCCCTGGGCCCGTCTTTTCCCTTTTCTTCCCCCACACAAGTGAGGACAGGACAGGATCCACTGTGAGTGTTCCCTTTGGCTTTTCCTACAGGATATGGACAGCCCCAGTGGCCTCAGGTCATCTCACAGGTCCCCTCGGTAGCCTGAGGCAGAAAAGGACTTGGGGCAACCAGACCCTAAGACCTGTGCTGCCCCTCCAGGAGAATCCTTGTGCCTTGGGGATTCTTAACCTAAGGTCCAGAGTCTTGGATGGAGGGAAACCCTCCTGTATTTTCAATAACCTCTCAGTAAGATGTAGGACCACCTTTAGTGACGCGTGTCGGCAGCAGGGCCCAGGAGAACTGCCAGCACCCACCACCCATGCAAACCACAGACTTTTCCAAAGATGTATGTATGTATGTATGTATGCATGTATGTGTCTATGTATTTATTTATTTGTTTGCAAGTCAGAGTTACAGAGAGGGAGGGAGAGACAGAGACAGAGAGAGCTCTTCCATCATCCCCAGTTCACTCCCCAGACAGGGAGTGGGTCAGACCAAAGCCAGGAGCTGGGAACTTGTTCCTGGTCTCCCAGGTGTATGCAGGGACCCAAGCACTTGGGCCATCTTCTGCTGCTTTCCCAGGAACATTAGCAGAGAGGGGGATCAGAAGTGGAGCAGCCAGGACTCAAACCAACACCCATATGGGATGCCAGCAATGCAAGCAGCGGCTTTACCTGCTACGCCACTGTGCCGGTCCCAACAAAAGATGTTTTTTGTGTCCCACCACTCTGTGCAAACAGTATAAAATGTCTTTTATGCTCATTAGTCCTTCAAAATTACAATAGATCACCATTAGATCTTGTCATTTTATGTACATCTATAAAAGTACATAGACTTTTTGTATCACAAAAAAAATTTAAATTTCAATAACTATTTCAATAGAATTGGTTTCTCCTAAATTGATTTCCCCCTTGGACGGGTAAGAGAGAAAGACTGTTTTATAAATTGCTCTTCCAAAAACAATCAGATAAAGTTTTCCTCTTGAAAAATATCTAACACTGTTCACCAAAATGAAATGGTTCCAACATTCGTGAGATGACTGATGATGGAAGGTACCAATTCCCACACGAGCAGGCTTACCTCTCCACTCTGACTACCACGGGTCATTGCCATGAGTAAGTATAAAGTCCATAATTGCGGTGCGGTAATGGATGCTGGGAGAATCCACTTTATCCCATTCTCAAGGCTAAGCAAGTTGGAGGCCACCCTGCAGCTGCGCAGATTGTGCGCTACCCAAGAGCCAGGGGACACAGGAGTGAGGGCTGTGCTTGGCCTGCCCAGAGAGGGCGTCCATTTGTAATTCACACACATGGGCTCTAGATCCACAAAAGGCCTAGGCAAGTAAACTTCTGCTTTTTCCAGAAACTAGCAAGTAGAATCGACCCCAGTGCTGAGATTCAAGCTTCCATTGCTACCAGGAAAGTGGCCAGCTCAGTGGTGCTAACAAAGCCCACAGTTCACCCTTTCCTTTATGCAAGTCGAGGGCTAAGACCCATCTGCTAGGCACCCACCTTTCGCACTGAGTTTGTAATCCGGGGAGCCCAGGCGAGTGGTCACTGAGACTCGACCCCATTGCTGGGTATAGCTCTCGTGGTGCTTGGCCAGAGGGAACGGCCTACCACCCCGAGCATCTCAGATACCAGCTACAGGCTCAGGAGGTATATGGTGGAACTGGTGCATGTTTAAAATCTCCCAGGCAACCACAAAGGAAACTGGTTTCAGAAAATTTATGACATTACTGGGTGCATTTTTCCCAGGGAAAAGTTAAATCAAGCAGAGGTTGCTGTCCGCCAGAAGTGGTCTGGTGAATCCAGGAGTCGGGAGGTGGGCTCAGGGCACAGCTGTATCATGATACACACAGGATGGTGACTCAGCTCCACTCCCAACCGTACCACTGGACCCTGCAGCAGGCTTGGGTTATTGGGGTGGGGGTGGGGTGGAAGAACATGTCATAGGCCTGCAGTACCTGGGACCTACAGATCTACCAGCCCAAGTGTTGAAAGTTCAGGTTGCTACTCTCAAGTCGTTGGCTTCTTCTCTGACATTGTAAGATGGAGCTGCCTCCTGAGTTTCATTCTCAAAAAGACCATCAGTTCAGTAGTGACACATAAGACCTGAAGCCTACGTGACCAAATCAGTCCATCAAAGCTTGCATATTATTTCCTCCTCTTAGGAGGAACCAACCCAAGTAGGTAGATAAACTCTTGCCATAAATTGTTTTCTTGTCCTTCTGTACACGCCACTTACATCAATCCTGATGTTGAAGGAAGCTGGAATCATAAATGGAAGTAATAACCAATTTAATCTTCCTGAAAAATAATAGGGTTCTTGTTTCTGCAGGAGGGCCATTTTTTATTGTATTTGCCTGTCGGATACACAAGAGCATTAACACTGCTTTTCACCACATGGGCTGTTCCGAACGTGTTCGTATACACCATCTATCACGTCTGTTAAAATGCCACTGGGACCAAACTGTGGGAAAAGCAGTAGACTGTTTCAGAAGCAGGGCATAAAGCAGGCGTTTTTCACATACAAGAATCCTGGCGCTAGTCTTCCTCCCTCGACCTTCTCCCACTGGCAGCATTGTCTTTGGCAACAAAGGACAATGAGTGGCTGTTCTCGGCCTAAGGCCCACTTCCAGACCGCTCCAGGAGCCAGCTGCTTTGGGGGCAGGTGAAAGCCTTTGACTGACACCTCCTGGCACCTCTTCATCCCTCCCCAGACGCCTGCAGGCCTAAATGAAAACTGTCATCGCAGAGGGCTACACAGAGGCTTTTCACTGGTGAGCCACTCATGATCAGTTCAGCCATCAGAGGCAATACAGTAGAAGTAGCTGTTAATGAGAAGAACAAAACAAATACTAGAAAAGCCAACAAAATGTGCTGAAAGTTCTCTTTCGCCTGCTTCACATTCAGAGAGGGACTCCAACCCATCATTTGAACAGCACCTTTTTTTTTTTTCATGTTTCTCTTGTACATTTGGGATTCAGCAAAATCATTTCTGAGCTTCGGGTCTTTGTCAATGAGATAAGTAGGACCATCTTTCATGCTTTGCACTTTTTGTGCATGTTCTGTGCTTACATTCTGTGAAACATGGTCTTTTTGTTATTTTAGAGATCTTTTTTTTTAATGGAATTTCAGGAAAGTGGCCTGGTAAATGGCCAAGCTGGAATTAAAATCTATTTCTGTCCAACTCCAAGGCTTCGAAAGCTCCACACTGTCTCCACAAATTCAGATTTACCTGCCTTTGACATTTCCCTCTGAATTTAAAATTTTACTCTTCGTCCGCTTTCCTCAATCTTTGGCCTCTGTCCTATGTGAGATGCACCCCCTAAAATGGCTCAAACTATACCCCCAGCTCAGGGGCCTGGAGGATAGCCCACTACCATAATTCAGGCTAGCTTACACGGGGGCCCGCATGGGAGCAAGTGTGTCTCCAGCCCAGCCTGCCCTCACTCCCCATCCCATGAGCCCCGGCTCGGGCTCCATCTACCTGCAGGTTGGCACAACAGTGCCCTTGGGCTTGGAGCAGCACTGGGTGGACTCGGTGCCCCAGCTGGATTCCCACTGTCGTCCTCGCTGTCGTTTAAAACAGGAGAACTGACAGTTGTATTTTCAGGCTCCCAAGCATTCCAGCTGAATAGGTTTCCTGATGCTTCAGAAAGCACAAGAGAATTCAAAACATAAACTTAAGCGGGGGTTGGTGGGAAGAGCAGCAGTGAAGTGTTCCTGCCTAAGCCCCAGAACCAGCACAAATAAGGACGCGAACAGTCCGATCAAGGGCTGGCACAGAGGTCAGCAAGCATGAGAAAATGAAAATGTGTCTCAAAAAAGGAAAAAAAAAAAAAAAACGCTCTATTCTCACAAGAAAGGCAAAGCCAAGGCCTCACCCCTGCTCCCCACCCGGTGCCAACCTTGCATCTCCCCAGTACCTTCTACCCTCGGCCAGAAGATGGGGCAGGGAGAACCAGCTCAAGTGAGGGCTGAGTTACAAAGTGCACTTCTGCTTTATTAAGTGATTCCCCACACACACGTACTGGGAAGTATAGAGCACCGCTGGCTTCCAATGCAGGTCTCGCCCTCCCCGCCCCTTCCCTTCCTGCCCCCTCTCTCCATATCTCAGCGCCACTCAGCCAAGTTGTCCGACAGCCTCCCCCCATTTAGTGGCAACGTGCCCTGGAAGCTGCAAGTTTACATGATCTGTAGAATTCAGAATTCCGGTCAAAAGACTCTTTCCCAACAACCCAGGCAAAAGTCCCTGGCGGGTGGAATGATGGACCTGGCTTAAGTCATGTGCCTATTT